TGGTGCCTCTGTGGCTCATTCACTTAAGCATCTGACTCTTGATTTTGGCTCAGATCATGATTTCACAGTTTGTGAGTTGAAGCCCTGCATTGGGCTCTGTGCTGATAGTGCAGAGCCTGCTGGGAATGCTCTCTCTCCCTCTCTCTCTGCCCCTCTCCCACTGGCACACTCTGTCTCAAAAAAAAAAAAAATTTTTTTTTTAAAGTTAAAGTGTACTCTTAATGCCCTTCGTCTATTTCATCCGTCCCCCTCCCACCTCCCCTCTGGTAACCATCTGTGTTAGTCTATTTTTTGGTTTGTCTCTCTTTTTTTTCCTTTGTTCATTTGTTTTGCTTATTAACTTCCACATACGAGTAAAATTATGTGGTATGAAAACAGGGGTGCTTTTAGTCCTATATCCAGTACAGTATTAAAAAGGAGTGATAAGACTGGCCATCCTTGTTTCATTTCTAGTCTTAAGGGGGCATGCACCTAGTCTTTTGCCATTAAGTATAATGTTAGCTGTGGGTTTTTTTATGGATGACCTTTATCACCCTGATGATGAAATTCTCTTATTTTCCTAGTCTTGCAAGTATTTAAGGTAGTTAGATTTTGGCAAATGCATTTTCTCTGTATATTGAGATGTTTTGGTCCTTTTTAAAAGTTATTTATTACATTGATTTTGTATGCTGAACCTACCTTTTGTGGATTATGTCCCACCTATTCGTAGTGTATAACTCCCCCCCCCCACTTTTTTTAATATTCTGGATTAGGTTTGCTAGTATTTTTTTGAGGATTTTTATATCTCTGTTCACTTGGGGATCTAGTTTTCTTGTGATGTTTTCATCTGGTTTATCAGTAATCAGTAATACTGGCTTCAGTTCTCTCTCTCTGTCTCTGTCTCTAGTTCTCTCTCTTAATAGTTAGTGGTAGTTTTTCCTTAAATGTTTGAAAGCATGTGGTTTGGACTTTTATTTCCAGAAAAACTTTTCATTTCTAATTCAATCTCATAAATTTTTATATTGAATTCAGATTTTTAATTCCTACTTGAGTTGGTTTAGGTAGTTTCTAGTAATTTGTGTCATCCAAGTGATCCAATTTATTGGAAATATAATTGTTCATAGTATTATCTTATTCTTTTTATTTCTGTAAGGTTGGTAGTAATGCTCTATCTTTAATACCTCAGTTTAGTTATTTGTGTCATTTTTTTTTCCTTGGGTAGTCTAGCTAACAGTTTGCTAATTTTCCTCTCCAATCCTTATTGTTTCCTTCTTTCTGCTTGCTTTGGGTTTCAAATGCTCTTCTTTTTCCAGTGTCTTAAGGTAGAGGTTTAGGTTACTAATTTGAGATACTTCTAATTTTTAATATGAACATTACAGTTAGAAATTTGTCTCTCAGTTGTACTTCAGGTGCATCTAGTAAGTGTCAGTATGTTTTCTTTTCACTTGCATTTATCTCAAAGTATTTTCTAATTTCCTTCATGACTTCTTTTTTGATCCCTTGGTTCTTAAGGAGTGTGTTGTTTAATTTTCATGCATTTGTGAATTTCCCAAGTTTCCTTCTGTTATATTTCTGATTTCATTGCATTGTTGATAGGGAAAATACTTCATATAACTTCAGTCCATTTATATTTACTGAGATTAGTTTTATTGACTAACATGTGGTGTGTTTTGGAAAATGTTCTGTGTGCATTTCCAAAGAATGTGTTTCCAAAGAATGAGTGTTCCACAGATGTCTATTAAGTGTAAAAGTGTTATAATATTATTCAGGTCTTCTGTTTTCTCACTGATTTTTCCATTTGTTTTATCTGTTCTTCAAAATTGGACATTGAAATCTGCAACAGTTACTTTTGTATTATCGATTTCTTCTTTCAGTTCTATAATTTTTTCTTCCTGTATTTTGAGAATATTGTTAGGTGCATACATGTTTATAATTACTATATCTAGTTGATGAGCTGGCTGTGCTTTCATTATAAATGTTCTCCTTTGTCGCTAATAACAATTTTTGTATTTTCTTTTGTCTTCTATTAGTATAGCACTGTAGATCTTTTCTGACTACTGCTTACATGGTATATCTTTTTTCATCTTTTTACTTTCAGTTTTGTCTTTGAATCTAAAGCGTGTCTGTTGTGGACAGCATATGGTTGGACCATATTTTGTCTTGTTTTGTTTTAAGTTTATATGTTAGACCATGCGAGTTGGGGAGGGGCAGAGAGAGAGAGAGGGAGAGAGAGAATCTCAGGCAAGTTCCACACTGCCAGCACAGATCCCGACACGGGGCTTGAACTCACAAAACCATGAGATCATGATGTGAGCTGAAACGAAGAGTTGACACTTAACTGACTGAGACACCCAGGCACCCTGATAATGTTTTTTCTTTTTAACTTTTTTTTTTTTTTTAAGAACAATTTTAGGGGCGCCTGGGTGGCTTAGTCGGTTAAGCGTCTGACTTTCGCTTAGGTCATGATCTTGTGGTTCATGGGTTCGAGCCCTGCGTCGGGCTCTGTGCTGACTGCCAGCTCAGAGCCTGGAGCCTGTTTCGATCTGTGACTCCCTCTCTCTGACCCTCCCCTGCTCACGCTCTCGCTCTCTCTCTCTCTCTCCTAGAAATAAATAAAACATTAAAAAAAATTAAAAAAAAAAAGAACAATTTTAAATGTTTGCTTATTTTAGAGAGAGAGAGGACAGAGTACAAGCTGGGGAGGGGCAGTGAGAAAGGGAGACACAGAATCTGAAGCAGGCTCCAGGCTCCGAGGTGTCAGCACCGAGCCCGTTGCAGGGTTCGAACTCACCAACTCTAAGATCATGACCTGAGCCCAAGTCAGATGCTCAACTGACTAAGCCACCCAGGCATCTCACCTGATTATGTTTTTTTAATCTACTGTGCTTATCTCTATCCTTTAAATGGTTTGTTCATTCCACTTATGTAATTACATATTAGTAGAATTACATTTGCTACTTTGTTTATATTTGTGTTTTATATGTTGTATCTTCTTTGTTGATCATTTTTCTATAACTGCTTTCTTTCGTGTTCGATATTTTCTAGGATGCTAATTTAATTTTTTTGTTTCTTTTGCCACTTTTAAAAAGTTTATTTTTACCAGCTGCCCAGGGTGTTAAAATCAATAACTTAAAACAGTGCAGTTTGGGGGCCTCTGGGTAGGTAGCTCAGTGGGTTAAGCGTCTGACTTTTGATCTCAGTTCAGGTCAGGATCTCATGGTTCATGGGATCGAGCCTTATATCAGGCTGTGGGGTGACAGTGTGGAGCCTGCTTGGGATTCTCTCTCCCCCTCTCTTTCTCTGCCCTCCCCTGCTTTTGCATGCCCTCTTTCTCTCCTTCTCTCTGTCAAAATAAATAAACTTTTAAAAAAGACAACAGGAGGGACGCCTGGGTGGCTTAGTCGGTTAGGCATCCGACTTTCGCTTGGGTCGTGATCTCGCGGTTCGTGGGTTCGAGCCCCGCATCGGGCTCTGTGCTGGCTGCCAGCTCAGAGCCTGGAGCCTGTTTCGGAGTCTGTGTCTCCCTCTCTCTCTGGCCCTCCCCTGCTCACGCTTTCTCTCTCTCCTAGAAATAAATAAAAATATTTAAAAAAATAATAATAAAAAAATAAAAAATAAAAAGACAACAGGAACCAGAATATCAATATAGTTTGGGTTGATGCCATCTTTTTTTTTTTTTTTTTTTATTTTATTTTATTTTTTTTTTATTTCTAGGAGAGAGAGAGAGACAGCGTGAGCAGGGGAGGGTCAGAGAGAGAGGGAGTCACAGACTGAAACAGGCTCCAGGCTCTGAGCTGGCAGTCAGCACAGAGCCCGACTCGGGGCTCGAACCCACGAACCGCGAGATCATGACCTAAGCGAAAGTCGGACGCTTAACCGACTAAGCCACCCAGGCGCCCCAAGGGTTGATGCCATCTTAATTACAGCAGCATGCACTTTTATATAACGCCATTCTTCCCCCTTTGTGCTGTTATTCTTATGCAAATTATATTGTTCTCATGTGCCCAACGAAATACTTCATATTGTTGCTTTATACAGTTTCTTTAAACCTGTGTAATTTTTGTTGTTGTAGAGAAAAGAGGTAACATAGGCTCACTGCATATCCTGAGAAAGAACTGCTTAAAAGATCCACCCTTGGCTAGCAACTGAGAACTTATCACTGTCCATGCCTGCCTCACTGATAAGAATGCTCACTGTGCATAAACTGCTTATACAGACAGTATCATTCGTGCTGAATAGCTGCTTTTCTTCTGGGAGTTAGGAATTTTGGTGTGTGCTAGACAGAGGGTACACATTGATCAGTCCCTAATAAAAACCCTCAGTGCAGAGTTTCCAGTCTTCCCTGGTGTTGTCATAACTAATTTCGGGGTGGGGGCGGCTGTGTGTGGGATTAAATGTGTTTTATGTGACTTTATTAACAAAAGATCCTTAGGAGCTAGCTCTGACCTTCCTGGACTTTGCCTTGGTTGCCCTTTCCCTTAGTGTCCTTTGCTGTAGTAAATTATAGCTGTCAGTGTGACTGTATCATGGAGCCTGTTGAGTTCTCTATCAAGTTCTTGAAACTGGGTATTTCACTACATACTGCTATAATAGATTACCGCAAATTTGGTGACTTAATATAAGTTTATCATTTTAAAGTTTTGAAAAGTCAAAAGTCTGAAGTGAGTCTCACTGAGCTAAAATCAAGGTGTCAGCATTGTTATGGTCATTCTGGAAGCTCTAGAGAAAAATGCATTTTTCTTGCCTTTCCCACACTCTAGCAGCTACCTGTATGCATTGGCTCACGGCTGTCCCATTCTGTCTTCAAAGTTACAGTCAGTGGTCGAGCCTTTCTTACGCAGTACCACTCTGACACTTTCCTATGGATTATAATGATCCCTGTGATTGTGTTAGGTCCAGCCAAATAATCCCGGATAATCCTTTTATCTTAAATATGTTAATGTATCATATCTGCAAAGTTCCTTTTGCCGTGTTTTTATCTTTTTTAATAATTTAATAATTTTATCTTTTTTTCTCCTCAGGCAGTAAAGAATGCTGATGGAAGAACCATTTTCCTAATTTTCAAATTGTTGAGCTGGTTGCCATGATGGGTGAGTTCAAACTAAAGACGGTATTCATCTATAATTAAATGATAAAATGGGGAAGAAAGATTTTTTTCTGTGTATGACCAAATTTTTTATTATTAAGAAGTTTTATGATGTAATAGGCCTCCATAATGTTTTATATTTATTAATAGATTTTCCCTTAAAGCACTTTTTGAGTTAACTTACAGATTTGGAATGACCATTTCATGCATAGTAGGGACATTCACAATAAACTGTTAAGATGGATTGAGGTTTACTTAGAGTCTGATGGCCAGAGAGAGTACTAGATAAGGAAACCTGACTTTTAAAGATTGAATAAATGCTGAGGAATTGCTGTAATTGCCCAACAATGAAATGTGGTATAATAATGTAAATGGCAAGGAAGGCTTTCCTAAAGTATGGGAGTGGGTTGTAGGTTATATCCTTTTTTTTCCCCTTTTCTCCTTGGAAGTTTCCAACATGAGGCAAGGATTAGACAGGGAAACACTAGAAATAAATGGACCAATGACCCCCACCCCATCCTAAATGGGAAAAAATGGACTGAGTAGGTGGAAGCTAAGTTTTTAAATCCAGACTGTCCCATTATCTTAATTCTGACATATACTTGTCTGTGTTTATCTTTGTCACATTTTTCCTATCACTTATTTAACAAATGTTATTATTCACTCTTATACACATATGTAGGATATGGTAGGCCAAAGAGCTTAAATTTGTCGATGTTCTTTAGTGGAGAGTCTGTACACTTTCATTGTATCTCCTCGTGGCAAGTGTGTAAGCCAAAGCTTCACCTTCCTGCTCTTTAAATTTCTCTTCCAGTTTCTCTTTTTGTAACCATGCATGCAGTGCCATCATGTGGCCCAAATTCTCCACCCAGTTCCACCTCCAGTTCCAACTGGGTATCTTTTACTGAACTCCTGTCAGCTTTTCATTGTGGTTGCTCTCACTTGCAATCCAACCTGTGTATGAATCCAATTCAGTTGTGCCGGCCTTCTCACATAATACTTCCCTATAGTAAGCAATAGCACAAGGAACAGTCATTGCTTAAAAGCTTATACACAGGTATTCATTCAGAGAAAACTGTGAATATTTAAAAGTATGAATCATAGGTATTTGAATTTTTGATTGAGGATGTTCTCCTGTAATTATTTTACAAGCGTAATAAATAAGCATAGAAGGCATCTATAATTAAGCCTTTCTGATAAAAGATTTTATTGAAATTATTTCCCAAATAATTTGTTTCTGTGTTCAAGTAAATAACATCCTTTCAATATGTGTCAGAAACCCACTGCTTCATCTATGTGCCTTTGGTCAGACTCTGGCCTCCCCTGGGCATTGTCATTGCCTCTTTGATCAATTCATGATCTTTAAGAAACCTGTCAAATCTGCCTAGTACCGATGACCATCACAGAGATTCTTACTAGATAAAGCAGTCTAAGAATTGTTACAAGAGTGCTTAGGGTGGACGTTCACCACTTTGCATGCTTTTGTGAATTTGTTAGTTTACATCTTGTCAGCCTCCTCAAGGTTAAGTTTCTTATTGGGTACTTAGGTATATCATGTGATTCTTCTTCAAACCAGAAAAAGAAGGAACTCAACTAAATTGCCCTTCATTTGTATGTCATCTCACTAAGAATTTTATTCATTTTGGTCATTTTATTCAAATGGTCCTTTTTTACATCTACAATAGGAAACCATATTTTTTTAATTTTTAATTTTTATGTATTAAAAAAGTTTTTTTTCTTAATGTTTATTCATTTTTTGAGAGACAGAGACCGTGCAAATGGGAGAGGTGGAGAGAGGGAAGTAGATACAATCCAAAGCAGGCTCCAGGATCTGAGCTGTCAGTGCAGAACCTGATGCTGGGCTCGAACTAAGGAACCGTGAGATCATGATCTGAGCTGAAGTCAGAGGTTTAACTGACTGAGCCGCTCAGGCGCCCCCATACTCATTTTTTTTTAAACAAGGAAATCAGTATATGTAAATGTGATAAGAAATTTAAGCTAGGCATTTGTTTATTTTGGTATTTTGATATTAAACATGGGAAAATATCTAAATTCAAGTGTTAAGTTTTCTCTAATGAAGAAAATAATTAGAACATACATATGTACCTTAAGTATTTGAGTTCTTTTCTCCCCAGTGTAGGACTAAAGATCTTACCTTTCTCAAGAAGTTTACTTGAAAAAATTTTATTACAGTTGAGATCATTCTCAGCTTATTTTTTTTCCTAAGAGCAGATTTATTTTTATCAGTAAATGATGTGTTCTGGCTTGGACCCGTGGACAGAATACACTTTGTGATTACACTGTACCTGGCTGGCTCAGTTGCTGTTTGGCTAAGCTGACATGATGAAATTTTATTTTACAAAGCATACTTTGTGAAGGATTATAAAATTTTCTCTAAACCTGGAATTTACTGATAAAACCTTTGGCACCGTTAATTTTAATTTTAATATGCAAGCATTTTCATTCTAGAGCAGAATATATTGAGTATTCTAAAAAATACATTTGGAAAGTCAGCTATTTGTGTGTTTGAAAGGCTGATGAAGCCATTGAATTGCCACATTCCTTTTAATGATTTCTCTTTACAGAGTAAAGCATGTTTTAATTATTACTAGTCTGAAACATAAATTACTGCTCACCAAAATGGTTACATCTTAAGATGTAATCCGTAAAAGTCCTTCAATTCCTTTATTGATTATTTGCTGATTATCATTAGCAGAAATGGTTTAATTCTAATGATTTACTAGTGAAAATCAATTAAATTATCCCCAAACTTTCCCAGAGAGCATATAATTGGTATTACCAGGAGACTCAGGCTTATAGTCTTAGAAAGAAATTTTTGATTTATTTGAAAGAAATTAATTTTTATGATCCTTTCACTCAGTTTTATGGATTCACCCATTTTTTTAAGGAATGCATTTTTCTTACATTGTTACATTTTAAGCTGTTATTGGCTAAGATCATTAAACAGTCTGCTAAATGTTTGTAGTTCTTGTTGAACTTTAGGGGGAGAAGTGCTTCCAAGTATTGGTAGGTCATTTATTATTCGCAGATAAAGCTTTGTGTTTCTGACTTGAAATACTGATGAAAAACTCTAAAAGGAATTCTGTACTTTGAACATAAATGCCAAATAATGATGAAAGCCATTTTTTCCCCTACTAGCTTTAATTAAAATTTTAGATGTTCTATTGGTGTTTTATTTAGGAATTACAGAAAAGTAATTTGTCATGGTGGGGCTGTTTTCGACCCATACACTAGGATGTTATGTTACTAGAAGAATCAGAGTGACTTTATCTTGCCTATAAATGTATCATGTGTAAACACCTAGTATGATGCTAGTGCTTGAGTCTAGTGCAGTTTTTATGTTACTTGTGCTCAGTTTTTAAATAATTAAAATTTTATTTCACCAAAATAACAAAAGTATAGGCAGTGTTCTAGATGCATTTTTTTGTGTTAAATTAATGCATTTTGCATTAAATTTCATGATCAAATTTGTGTTTGATGTCTGATAAATACATATTGAAATTATGATTTTTTTGCGTCTGTTATTTTAAAAACACCTAGATGATCAGCAAGCTTTGAACTCAATCATGCAAGATTTGGCTGTTCTTCATAAAGCCAGTCGACCAGCATTATCTTTACAGGAAACCAGAAAAACAAAATCTTCATCACCAAAAAAGCAGGTATTTTAATAATACATATTATTATTATATGAATTATTTGTCTTGAATATCCTGATCTTATAGTGGTTTGTTTAAAGTGTTTGTCTTTTACACTTTTGAATCAAATATTTGTTTGTCATACATTTTTCCTAATGGGTGTGCATTTTTAAAAATGGCAGAGTTTCATTTAATGTGGTAACTGCCCTCTAATACTGGTATTTTGTCCATTCTTAAAGTACTTAAGATAAGCAAGTTTTTATTTAAAATAGTCTATTCTGTTTACAAATGAGCATCATTTTGATTTTTGTAAGTAAAATTTGCTTGATCTGTCCAGCACAAAAAGTGAGAATATAATATTCTTTATTTCCCTCTAACAGGCTTAGCAAGGGTCTCATAGGCGTGATCACTGAGATCTCCGTGCTTTTTGCTTTCAGCCCAGATTCCACAACACAGTTCTCAGCTCAGCTCTTTGGCAGATACCATGAATTGATTGGAGTTCACACTGAAAATGAAACCTCCTTTCCCCCTGCTTTTTTTAAAATGAGTGACTAAGGGGAAAAAAAGGAGTCACTAAGAAAAAAGGTGATCTAGAAATTATAGAAATTTTTATCTGATCTCTGAAATGATTTATCATTTCATTACAGAATGATGTTCGAGTCAAATTTGAACACAGAGGGGAAAAAAGGTAAGTAAAGAAACATTAACATGTCAGTTTATTGATTTAATCAAACAAGTCTTAACTCTTTAAGGTTTTCTCTGGACTTTAGTGAAAGTTGATGGCATACAAATGGAATGGAATAGTCCTTGGTGATGTGTAACATGTACTTAGACTCACAATAGAGTCTGTCAAAATTTAGGGTAAATTTTAGTAATAATTTTTAATGTTTTTATTTTAGGAAATAAAAAAGATCATTGTATAATACAGCCTTTAAATATTACCATTTCCTTTTATTTTTACTCAGTGGAAATCAAATATATTTCTCCTTATCATATTTGTATCATCTCTTCAGATACTATATAAAACTCACATACATGGATTTAACATTCATAATTTTGATTATTCTCAAGAGACCTCAATCATATGACATATATTTGATTAGAAACATTGAGGAAGATGATTGGAATGGTGGCTGTAAATTAGCAAAGGGATCAGCCTACCCTTCCACTGGGTATCTGTATCTTAATGCAGTGGTAGAGGTGGTGGTGCTGGTGGTGGTGCTGGTTGGCAGCAAAATTGTTAACAAGGCCTAATAGAAGATAGAGAAGATGGAATTTCATTTCTGTTACTAATGTTTCATTAAATTCAGCTAGTGAAAAAGCTATCCATTCTAAGGACTTTAAAAAGGCTCATAAGTCATATAACCTGAAGATGTAAAAATGTTTTATACAGAGCTATCAACAAAAATTGGATATACCATCCACTTGTCCAATCTCCTTTTTTCTTACTGTTCTTTTATGGATATTTTCTCAATTTTTTCCCATTCAATGAGCATTATTTATTAAGTACTGTAAGTGCTGGACCATTAAGGAATAAAGTGAGCAGAAAGGACATAGTCCCTCCCCCAAGCAGAGCTTACAGGCTAATACAGTAATTTCCAAGCTTCGGTGCATGTTCCCCCAGGGCAGCACAGGCTAATCTTTTGAGACATAGAAAGAAAATACTAGAAATTAAAATTTTTTATTTTTAAAAAGTGTTTATTTTGGGGATATGCTTCCTTAGGATATATAGGGGCTCAAAAATGTTGAGTTGATAAGGGTACAGAAATCAAAATTTGAATCTCCAAAGAACAACTTTATTCTTTTAACAGTTTTGTTGCATTCCCTTATATAGATGTCACATAGTTAAGTTTAATTTTAATCCCTTTTTTCAATGAACAGTTACATCTGCTCTTTAATAATCTTAAAATTCTGTCTATAGAATCCTTCAGTTCCCCAGACCAGTTAAACTGGAAGATCTGAGATCTAAGGCTAAAACTGCCTTTGGACAGTCTATGGATCTCCATTATACCAATAATGAGGTAAACATGTACAATTTAACTTTTAATAGCTCTTAATTTGGAAAGTAGTATGTTCATTTAAGAGATTGTTTTAGGGATATTTATTTAGGAATTGCTAAGGATATAGTGTGTTAGAGAAAGAAAACAAGTAAGTTTTGACTAACTGAAGTATGTTTTTTTCCATTGTGGAAAGATTTAAGGACACTACTGAACAAAGAAGTGAATGAGAACATATTGAGGGAGGAAATATATGTATAACTTAGAAGTTTACTGCTTATTTATTTTCACTCTGTGTACTCTTTTGTTTTTATTCTCATGTTAACAAACAGTGTATCTTGGCTTCAGCAGTAGAACCCACTGATGCATCTCTTACATATGACACCACTCCTGAGGAGTGCCCTCCTTAATGCCCATCACCCATCTACCCCACCCCTACCAACTCTCAGTTTGTTCTCTGTATTTAAGAGTCTCTTATGGTTTGCCTCCCTCTCCTGTTTTTATCTTCTCTTCCCCTATGTTCATTGTTAAGTTTTCTTGAATTCCACAGTGAGTGAAATCATATGATATCTGTCTTTCTGTGACTGACTTATTACCTTCCAGTTCCATCCACATTGTTGCAAATGTCAAGAGTTCAGTTTTTCATCACCAAGTAGTATTCCATTGTATGTATGTGTGTGTGTGTGCGTGTGTGTGTACCACATCTTTACCCACTCATTAGTTGATAGACATTTGGACTCTCTCCATAATTTAGCTATTGTTGATAACGCTGCTATAAACATTGGGGTGCATGCGTCCCCTGAAATCAACATTTTTGTATCTTTTAGATACATTCCTAGTAGTGCAATTGCTGGGTGGTTGGTAGTTTTATTTTAAAATTTTTGAGAAACCTCCACACTTTTCCAGTGGCTGCACTAGTTAGCATTCCCACCAACAGTGCAATACGGTTCCCCTTTCTCCACATCCTTGCCAACATTTATTGTTTCCTGAGTTGTTCATTTTAGCCTTTCTGACAGATGTGAGGTGGAATCTCACTGTAATCTTGATTTGTATTTCCCTGATGATGAGTGATGTTGAACATCTTTTCATGTGTCTGTTTGCCATCTGGATGTCTTCTTTGGAAAATGTCTAAACTCTGTACCTTTTGGTGAATTGTCTGTTTTTCCTCATACTCTACACTTGTCTGTAGAGACAATACAGCTTTAGTAGTTTAGTTAAGCTTAGTTTAGTTAAGTTTAGTTTAGCTTAGTTAAAACTTTAAAGGATTATTTTCAAGTTGCTTAGGACATGGTTAGAGCATTATGTTTATGTTGTGAGTCAGTACATGTGATTTTAAGGGCTTTGTCTGGCACTGAGGAGCTCTGTGTTCTGGGAAACACCCTCCCCCCCGCTTTAATGTTTATTAATTTTTGAAAGAGAGAACAAGCAGGGGAGGACAGAGAGAGAGGGAGAGAGGCAAAGAATATGAAGCAGGCTTCAGGCTCTGAGCTGTCAGCACAGCCTGACACAGGGCTTGGACCCATGAACCATGAGATCATGACCTGAGCCAAGGTCGGATGCTTAACTGAACCACCCAGGCACCCCTGGAAAATCCCCTTTTGAACCTTCTGTAAAATTCAGTTTGGATTAGATAATCTCCAAGGTTTCTTTCAGGTCCTATGCAATCTCAAGATCTTGAATCTTAAACATTTCAGGGCAGTTTAGTTGGTTGGTTAATTTGTTGTTTTCCAAAGAACATACTTGTTGAATTTGCCAGGCATAATGCTATGATTTATGAATTGCAGCCCTTCATGGAGTTTATAGACTTGTGGTAGAAGCAGACAGCTCAATAATGAGTTGTTCAAATATATGAAGTTCTTTGAAAGACATGCATAAAATATCATGAAAAAAAATGACGGCAAGGGCAGTACCCGTTCTATTTAGATGGTACTAAGGAAGAACTGAGGTGGTAATATTTAATTATCTTCAAATGAGTCATTATTAATTTAAAGAAAAAATATGTTAATATAGTTTGTCTAAAGAAACCACTTACAACTGGAAGTGGAACATATTTTGAGAAAGTAAAAATCCATATCCAAACAAATAGTATCCCTGAACAAAGTGATGAGTATCATACTCCAGTAATACTTTCATATTTTATTTTTCAAATACTTTTTGGGTTTTCATTTAGCCATGAACACCTCTTGTTGCCTGCTCTGACTTGGCAAGAGGTGGATTTTCTGTTTGTTCTGGCCTGATTTTCCAATTGCCAGTCTGAGGGATTTTTAGAGGAACTTCATAGGGTCTAGGCAGAAGTACATACAGGGATGCCAGGGGTGCATGGGCGAATGAGACTCAAGGATAGTGTGGGAAGGTGGGGATAGGTAGGTTCCACTTAACCGTAGTGGTAACTTGCTGGATAACACACCCTTTATAGGCCCCTTTCCTGTCTTCCCCATTCTTCTGTACAGTGTTTCCTGGTATATTTTCCCACATAAACAGGCTTGAACTTGAGTGTTTATTTCATGGTATGACTTTAAGGGAATCTGGATATATCTTTGTTTTTGTTTGGTCTAAAATTGTATCATGGGAAGCTTTCAAATGCCAAAATATGTTAAGTCTACAATACTGTCTTGATCTACCAGTCTAGTAGGTCTATCAAAAATTAGGTTAGTGACATATAACTGTTTCTAGAGTTTTCTTGAGGATTGACACCAAACTAACTGACCTGTGGTTTCAGGAACCTTCTCCCTTTCTCTAAAAATTGGAAAAAATTTTCCATTTTCAGTTCCTTTTTCTTGTGCTTTCTGACGATTTCTTGGAGAGGTTCTGCCATTATATCTGGGTGGCCTCTTGGCAGGAATGTGGTAGAGGAGACATTAGGTAAGGTAAGATTACGATGTTTAAAATTTCTCACAACTAAGAGATTCTTTTGAGACTCTGATTCTGTTAGTCAGCCATGTCCTGATTCACATCATGACAAACCTAATGCATGCCCTTCAACACTGAGGGTACTAGGGAAAAGCTGTAAGGTCTGTTAGTTTTGTGGACCTATGGACAAGCAAAAAAACTCATTTATACTGCTTGTTATTCCAGTTCTATAGATTTTTTTTTCTAGTATAAATCCTTGTGTTTTAAAAGAACCATTATTCTGTAAACTTCTAGTTTGCCAGACTCAAAACAAGAAGGAGATTTAAGCTGGGATTGGTTGGATCTGTTAGTTGGGCTCCTCTTTAATAGTGTCGACCGTGTGTGTGGGGTGGGGGGAAGGTCATGGGAGCTGGATGTGAAGGTGTGCAGGCAAGGTAAGTGGATTTTCTGAGATCTTTCTCTCTCTCTCTCTCTCTCTCTCTCTCTCTTTAATGTTTATGAGAGAGTACGGTAGAAGGGCAGAAAGAGAGGGTAGAGAGAGAATCCCAAGCAGGCTCCGTGCTGCCAGTGCAGAGCCTGATGTGGGACTTAATCTCACAAAGAATGAGATCACGATCTAAGTTGAAATCAAGAATCAGAAGTTTAACCAACTGAGCCACCCATGTGCCCCAGATCTTTCCCATTTTAGATGGTTAGAGGAGGAAAACCTTTTGGTAAGGACTAGGACTATTATCATGTGTCACTGTGCTAAGTCAGGCAAAGAAGTCACTTCTTTCAAATTTAAGTTCTATTGCATGGGTTTTTGGACCTAATTTTGAGTTTGCAAGAAGGATTTATATTAACAACTAATGAATCAGTATTAAGGCAGAGGGAAATAGATTTCATGACTGAGGCTGAAATGAATTCACTAAGCAGGAAAACATTGTGTGATTTATTTAATATAATTTAGATAAGCTGGGATTTGTTCTTAACTCTTAGTCCTCGTTTTAAAATTGGTAGTAGGTGGCTTTAGAAGATACAAGGGATCATATGAGAACCATAGACAGTAGTCCAAGCTTCCAATCTATATACTCCTCCATAATGCCCAGATTTCACATTAGCAAACTGAAAAACAACAAAATAATTTATGTAAATGTTTTTGTGATTTAAACTAGTGGCTTTTCTCCCTCAAAGCAACAGTGTAAGCAATCCAGTTATCAATAAATGTGTAGTAAAAGTAAATATTCAGGTTTTCCCCTCAAATGAAAGACTGGAAAAAAATCATCTTTGCTTTAAGATGTTTTTTAATGCTTAAAATATAGTTAAAAAGAATATAGAAAGATAGGAGCAAGATGTACCAATATGGTTCATAATTGATAGGAAGATGAAAGGGTATTCTTTTTCAGTTATGCTTATTATGAAACCAAATAGTTAATATTCTTTTTTTACTAGAAAAAAAAATACTCATAGAGGAAAAAAAAAAAAAAAAAAAGGCCGGGTTAGTAGGTAAGTTGGAATAGTACAAAACTACTAAAGTAGCTACAAACAGGTTTGGGAATATAATTTCAAGTACATATTAAGTAAATTTAAGTGGATTGTATGATGGAATTCACATTAGTCTGGAATCCACATTATTTGTGTTTTGCAGCCTTTATTAAAACAATGGCTTTTTTTTTCCATAAAGAAATCTGCAGAAAATGCACACCATGTCAGCTTGTGGGTTTGGGTACAGATGACGCTTAAACAGTATTTACCAAGTAGTTGCCATGCATGCTCTGTGTCAGTTGTTAGTGCCCTTGTCCTCACGGAGTTTGTACTGTAGAGGACCCCAAACTAACTAGGCCTTTACATTTGAATGGCTTCTATACTGTACTTAATTAGAACAAGGTAACATATGTTTTTATTCTGTCCTTTCAGTCAGATGGAATATAATTTAAAGATTATTGAAAGTTGTCTTAGGCTATTAAGTTTACATTTTTTTAAAAAAGAGAAAGAAGTATTTTGATTTTCTTAAGTTGTGTGAATCATACTTTCTCATAAACCTCTCAGGGTCTTTTTGTCCTTTATAACGTCTGATCCATGAGAGAACTAATGAAAGCAGATTTGCACATTTAGAGGTTACTATGGACGGCTGACCCATTTAGCTGATTTATTGTTGGTTAAGTCACCAGAGCAGAGGGCGCCCCAGGTGGACGGTAGATTGCAGGTATGTTGCCAGTGGTCCCTCCATGTCAGCTGCTATAGAAGCTCGTCTTATTTGGGATGTTGATACGCACTCTAGGTGAGAATGTGGGTCCCTAGTAGTGTTACTATAGAGAAACCCTGAAGGTTTCTCAGTGCAGATGAAGGGTAGTACTTTTATTTTACATAGTTTTGTGTGTGCTCCTTAATGCTGTTTTGGGGTGAAGATACTATACCTTACATTTTGCAACATTGTGGAAATATCCTAGAAAATTAATCTTTAACCTTTAAAGGTGTTTTTTAGAAGAATTTAATGATTAAAGCAAAAAAATTCTTGTCCATATTCAGTGTGTGATTTTAGTGGTGGTAGGATGGGAAGAGTGAAACCATCTAGATATATCTATTCATTCAGAATTTCATTATACTGACAAAGAGCCAGGGTATTTTGAAATTTATAATTCCATAGTCATGGAGATGGTCCTGAAAGGACTTCACCTGTGAGATGGTTGCATGATTCATTGTGTTGCCTTCTGTTCAGTTGGTGATTCCATTAACTACCCAAGATGACTTGGACAAAGCTGTGGAGCTGCTGGATCGTAGTATTCATATGAAGAGCCTCAAGATATTACTTGTAATAAATGGAAGTACACAGGTATGCCTGGAGACTTCTTCCATAAGGATTATAGGATTTATGCCTGTGAAATAGGAAATATAGTTACAGTCTATAATCATTGGTATGTTTTCAGTATAATGAAAAGTAAATTTACATATTGTATTGTTATAGTTTAATATCCTTGCTCCTCAAAACCATGTAGCTAAAATTATAAATAAGTATAATATACATATGGAACTAATAGAAATACTGAGAACTTGGGAAAATTTTTACTGGAAATAAAGTTTCAAGGAGTAGATTTGATAAGACCTACTAACACTGTAGACTATCCTAGGTTGTATTTGCTTGGGGCGGGGGTAAGATTCTGTTTAAAGCCCCAAAAAGGGAAGAATAGTAAGTATTAATCATCTCCTTTGCTTATAGGCTACTAATTTAGAACCATTGGCATCACTAGAAGACTTGGATGACACAGTATTTGGAGCAGAGAGGAAAAAACGGCTTTCTGTAATAGGTGAGAATGCTAGTGTCCAAACCATAAAATGGGCAATTTCTCAGTTTCTTCTTCATCCTTTGATGCAGGATGCAATACCTCAACATAACCCTGATGAATAGCAGGCTGTCTCTGTACTCTGTGTAATTTTTCCCAGGTAACGGTGTTCTAGTTTCCTATGTCCCTTGAAAAGTTACATCAAGTGTTGTAAAATTATCAGTCTCCAACTTAAATATTTTTTCTTTATATACTTAGGATATTTTAATATTTAACAAATTTAAATTAAACCTCAAGGAGGTTTTAATTATAAAAATAACTAGAGGGAAGAAATTAAAAGAAGTAATTTCAATATATTAAAATTAATGGATGGACTAAGTTCATAAGCCTTTCTCTAAGTTTGTTATTGCAGTACTATCAAATGCATTGCTAAGAGTTTCCAGATTATTGCTTTTTTAGTATTCATTATTCATCATTAATAATAGATTATTAAAATTAAGCTTGTGGTACAAAGCAAAATGGATCCTGTGTGCTGTTTGAAGGAGGCCTGTTAGAGAGGCGTGGGTGAGGCAGATCTGAGCTCCCCAGTTCTATGGGTCTTCAGGTAGCGTAAAACATTAATGATCTGCATTTTTTTGTATGATAAAAGCATTACATTGTTCAAAAACCACTGGTATAAATATTTTTTAACAGATAGGGCAGTGAATGTGACAACAAAACATATGTGAGGGATGGACTTGGAAAAATAGAGGAGGAGGTGAAACAGATGAATGGAGAGGGAGGAAGCAGGAGAGTGGGACAACATGAGAGATGTGGTTGGGAATCCAAGACTGTAACAGAAAAGGATTGTTAATAACACAAGAGATTAAATTGGCATGTGAGCCAACCCCCCAAATATCTGTTATTCGTCTTTTGTTTTGCCAGCCCTCCCTTCCTCTCAGAGGAAGCTACTTTATGACTACTTCATCTAAGTATCTGTCTTACAGAAGTCCTACTTCTGGTTACGGAAGTGCTGGAAACGTGAGCAGCAGCGATGATTTACAAGCAAAATAAGAATTGCACTTCTTTATTCAGATATATTTTTATACAGTTTAGAATTTTGGTGAAGGAACATTAGGAATATGGAATTCACATTCCAGCTCTCTAATTAACTTGAGACCAGTAATGTTATTCTCATTTTAAATCATGGGACTCTTGTGGCAATAGATTTTGCTTTTCAAACTAGAAAACATGACTATTATTAAACCTATATTTCTTTCTTCATTCCCTTTCCTTATCACATTACAGTATGCATCATTTTAAAGTAAAACATTGCCAGTCACTGTAGTTGCATTAGAACAAGCTGAATGCTCTACTTAAATTGACATTTAAATTCATTTTGAATTAAAGCTCAAAAATACCTCAGTCTTGTCCTACTAGTAAATATTCTTATTTGAGTTCAGTGCTAGCACAGGAAGAAACTGGAAATCGCAATGTAAAAATTGTTGGTTTTTATTGGTACCTCTTTAAACCTAGAATGGCTTTGATAGATATGACCATCATCTTTCTTTCCTTATTTATTGACAATTATTCTCTTTAATTATCTTCATAAAAGATAGAAGAAAAATTACCTTTGGGATGAGTATATTCTGGTGTGGAAATCTCAACCAAGAGTGCATTGACATACCCATTACTAACAGAAGTTAAGAAAAAAGGGTTTTCTTTGGGTATAAATACCCAGTAGTGGAATTACTGGGTCATATGGTAGTTCTGTTTTTAATTTTTTTGCTGGACCTCCATGCCATTTTCCAAGGTGGTTCTACCAATTTACATTTCCACTGACAGTTTATGAGGGTTCCTTTTTCTCCATGTCTTCATTAACACCTCCTGTTTCTTATGTTGTTGTTTTAGCCATTCTGACAGGTGTAAGGTAGTATCTCATCATGGTTTGATTTGCATTTCCCTAGTGATGAGTGATGTTGAGTGTCTTTTCATGTGTGTGTTGGTGAAGAAAATGAAATTCAAAGAAATTTGAAGGAAATCTAATTCAAAAAGATAAATGCATCCCTATGTTTATTATAGTAGTATTTACAAAGCCAAGATATGGATGCAACCTAAATGTCCATGGATAGATGAAGGATAAAGAAGATAGGTATATGTACATACACAATGCTATATTTTTCAGCCACCAAAAAAGAGTGAGATCATGCCATTTGTGAGAATACAGTGGACCTAGAGGGTGTTATGTTAAGTGAAATAAGTTAAAGAAAGATACCATATGATTACATTTATATGTAGGATCTAAAAAATAGACCAAATGAATAAACAAACAAAAAAGCAGACCCTTAAATACAGAGAACAGACTGGTGATTGTCAGGGTATTGGAAGGATGGGCAAAATAGGTGAAGGGGATTAAGAGGCACAAACTTCCAGTTATAAAATAGATAAGTCACAGACCTGAAGAGCACAGTATGGAGAATATAGTCAATAAAATTGTAATAGTATGTGGTGACAGATGCTGACTACACTTAAGAGTGGTGAGCATTAGAATTATCAGATCACTGTGTTGTATACCTGAAACTGTTATAACATTGTGTGTCAACTAGACTTCACTAAAAATAAATAAATGAAAAGAAAAATGCTTATCTAGTTAGGAGATGAAGAAACTTTCATGGCATTTTTTTTTCTTCCCTATCTCCTTTTAGTAACGAATATTTTGATCTTTTATAAACAAGAATATATGGAAGCAATAAAAATATTAGGGATAATATCATCACACCTGTTACAAAGCCTAAGTAAACCCTTGGCTCAATGTTTAGTTCCTAGTTATTTTAGAGTCAAGCAGAAATTCATCTTTTTGTTCAAGTCTCATGGTATTATTCACTTTGTTCTTTTTCTCCCTATCTCTTCACTACCAAATGCTAGCATATACATACAACGACCCCTTTTTGTAAGGCAAAGCCTTTTTGCTTTAAATCTGACCAAAATTTAAATGCTCATGACTACCCCATATCTTTCTATAAAAATAGTTTAATTTCAAAATATTTGGAGGAAAAGGGAAAGCTGTGTTAATAAACATAGCATTATTTCTATAAAACCAGGTAAAAATAAAATGGATTGTTGTCGCATAGGAAATGATGTGATTAATTAGGTGAGCTATATTAGATTTTCTGATTTTCTGAACTATGAGGAAATTTAAATGCCAGGAATATGGCTTGTGATAAAACCTAATTTTAAAGTACCCAAGAATAAAATTCAGGATTCTAATTTGAAAACACTCTAATATGGCCTAAGTGACTTAAAAAGTAATCTCACTGTAGGTTTCTAAAGATTAAGGAGAGGGAATGGAAAGAACATACGGAACTAGATGTGCATAGCATATATTCAGTATGAATAATTTTATCATTACAACACCCTTGCAAAGGGGGGATTTGGTCTTTTTGTTTCTTTACCTTAAGTGCTGGCTTTATTTAGTTCTTTAATCTATTTTTTAAATTCAAGTATAATTAACATACAGTGTTAGGTTAGCTTCAGGTGTATGATAGAAATGATTCAGCAGTTCTCTATATTTCTCAGTGCTCCTGAAGATAAGTGTACTCTTAACCCCCTTCACCTATTTCACCCATCCCTCCGCCCACCTCCACTCTGGCAACCACCAGTTTGTTCCCTGAGAAGAGGGATTTAGTTTTATGTTGACAGATGAGGAACCAGGTTTGTGGGGATTGGATAATTTTACCAAAGACGATACAGTTGGTAAATAACTAGAACTGGGATTTTAAACTGAGGTATAAAGTCCACATTCTTTCCACGATATTATGATGCCTTCCCTAGGTTATGTTAAAGGGTAACATATATCTAGGAACAAATGCAATGGCATCTAAACATCGTTATCATCAGCTCCATACTGCAGTTGTCAACAATTACAAGAATCTAATAAGAATAAATGAATCTAATAAGAATAAATGAATATTTCAGTGAGGTTAATAATTATAATAGGGTGGGGGGTTAGAAAGGTATGAAAACACTTGAAGATTTATAGAAATGAATGTTCTGATAAGTTTTAAAAACTGGATTTCAGTAGTTAAAATTATTGGGACTGTAGTCCAGAAATCCTGTATTTATATTTAATTGAAACAAAAATTAGTTCCCAGTTGATATTTATAAACTCATGTAACTCTCTTCTTTTGAGGTCCCACTAGTAGAGATAGAAGCTCCCCTCCCCCAGGATACATTCCAGATGAATTACACCAGGTTGCCCGGAATGGGTCATTCACCAGTATCAACAGTGAAGGAGAGTTCATTCCAGAGAGCATGGACCAAGTAAGCAAAAGTTGGATGTGGTTTTTCATTTCATTTAAAGGGATGTTGTCAGGATTTGTGTGGTTTGGCAGGTATCCTGTGTGCGTGTGGGTGGATGTGGGTGTGTGAGAGAGAGAACAGAGACAGAGAGACAGGAAGAGAGAGGGAGACCTCTTCTCCTCCCGTATCTTCCTTAAGTGAACAAAATAGTGAAAGAATACAGGATAATGCCCCGTAACTTACACGTGCCTTGTGCATTCATGTCTACACAAAGCTGGTGTTCTTATTTTGCCCATCTATAGTAAGTGAATGCATTTGTTTATAATCCTGGGATTCACATTCACATTTTTACTTAACGTTTGAAAGATACAGTAAGGGGTCCCTGGATGGCTCTGTCAGTTAAGCGTCTGACTTCCAGCTCAGTCACAATCTCCCAGTTTGTGAGTTCAAGCCACATGTCAGGCTCTGTGCTGACAGCTCAGAGTCTAACCTGGAACCTGCTTCAGATTCTGTGTCTTCCTCCCTCTCTGCTCCTCCCCTGCTCATGCTCTACCTCTCTCAAAAATAAGCATAAGAAAATTAAAAAAGATGTAGTGAGAGTACAGATATTTAATTTTGTGAAGCTGAGGTTTGTCAACTTTGTAAGACGTTGTAAATGTTTTAACAATGTGGCAGTCACGATGTCCTTATTCTCAATTTGAGTGGGGCTCTTATTCAGTGTTCAGTAAGCAAAATTACTTGAAATCTTTTAGCTTTTAATTATTTGACTAATAATCTTATAGAGAAAATATTTTTCTCTTAGGAAATTTGAAATTGTAGCCTACCACAAGGGACCACTGCATTTAAAACATGAAACAATGCGTAACTCAGGGGAGAGGTGACTGCTATTGGATGTGGGGTCTTCTTTTGGGTTAAGTGTTCTGCAGTACTGGTGAGGATTGCACAGCTCTCAGTATACTGAAAACCATTAAACTGTACACTTTAAATGGGTGAAATTTTATGTTACATGAATTATATCTCAATAAAGCTGTTTAAAAAAACCTGGCTGTACTCACTGAATCATGGAGGAACTCTTTATTTTTCTAGATGCTGGACCCATTGTCGTTAAGCAGCCCTGAAAATTCTGGCTCGGGAAGTTGTCCATCACTTGATAGTCCTTTGGATGGGTAATACAGATTGTAGTTTTTATTTTTTAATGTATGTGGGTAAATATACATATATGTAGTATGTCAGAGGAATGTAATTGATAATACTCCTCTATACTTAAGGCAAATGAATTTTTTCACAGTTTGAACAAATCCCTTCACTTCATGGGGCTCAGTATCTTTGATGGGTAAAATGATACTTGATTATATTATTATTATCAGTATTTCTGCTTGCCAAAACTGTGTGTTTGAAGCTAAATGCAAACTTAGAATGTACATTTACTTTTAAAACTATGTTGGTGAAACTGCTGTCAAATTTTTCAATAATACATTTGGTTTTGGAGGTTTCTTGAATTGTTTTCACCTGTTCAGGATTATGTTCATTCTGGCACCACGTTATTGGTAATTGGTACTTTTTTGGTAATTAGGCTCAGAATGTTGGGTGTCATTTATAATTTAAGTAGTGTACATTTGTTTTGTGTGAGATGGCTGTTGAGAAAAATAAGCTAGGTGAAGTTGCAACTGTGAATTTTTTGTTATAAGAAAGTGCTTCTCTCCTGGTCTCAAGAAGACAGTGTTCGGGTGTAGCCCACAATCATCCTGCAGCACACAGGGTCTGTAAAGTCTTTACCTATTCGATCTCCTCTGGGATTTCTTTTTGGAAGCAAATTCTGAAAATACAATGAATACTGTACAGAAGTACACATTTAATTTTCTTTTACCTGTATAAGTAAAACCTTTGTGCCCATATCTTCCTCAAGACAGATATCTGAAACATTTAAGAAATTCAGGAAAATAGAAAATGTGAAAGCTATATATTGAACATTTAATATTTGAAAGACACTGTTCTGAGCACTATATATGCACACCATTGATGAGTTGGAAATTATCATCTCGTTTTTATAGGTGTGCAAAATCTCAGAAAGGTGATTTGCCAAGATTGCAATTGCCAGTTAAATGGTAGAGCTACAATTGAAACATAAGTGTTTGCCAACATCTATAATTCCAAAACTTACCACTTTTACTGAGATGCCCTATAGGGTAATTTTTAAAGCTAGGCTTTTGCCTCCCTGCACCAAGTAAGTGTTTAAAAAGAAGTGTCTCTTTTTCAGTTATGTTAACATTTCAGAATGAGCTCCTTTATTTATACATATATATACATATACATATACATAAATATATATACACACACATACCTCATATATGTATAATTTCTACACATACTTACAGATACTGATAGTGCATAAAGATATCTCAAATGTTTTATTTACATACTTTCTCTTTAACATGACATTTTCTATTTTTAGAGAGAGCTATCCAAAATCACGAATGCCTAGGGCACAGAGCTACCCAGATAATCATCAGGAATTTTCAGGTTAGACTCTCCGTATTCCAAATGTTTAAATACTTGTGTCATTAAACAATGCTTTGGTTGGGAGGAAGAGGGGAGTGTTTTTTTTAATGAATAAAAATGTGTAAATATTTTTTATTATTAGAGATATTTGATTTTTTAAATAAAACATAACTTTCTTGCATCTCAATAGACTATGACAACCCTATCTTTGAGAAATTTGGAAAAGGAGGCACATACCCAAGAAGGTATCATGTTTCATATCACCATCAAGACTATAATGATGGTAAGTTTCTTGTAATTAGATTATAAGAACAGCTCGTTTAAAATTTCAAAAGTAATCAAAATCAAAATAACATTTTTAAAATATGTATTTCAATAACCCATTAAAAATATTTTTTTTCCTGAATCACTTAATTTTTGTGCTTAAAACAATTTGTGAGGGGTGCCTGGGTGGGTCAGCCAGTTTATGATCCCATGGCTCATGAGTTTGGGCTCCACTTCAGGCTCTGTGCTGACAGCTCAGAGCCTGGAGCCTGCTTTGGATTCTGTGTTTTCCCTCTCTCTCTCCGCATCCTTGCTTGTTCGTTCTCTCTCTCTCTTTCTCTCTCTGTCTCTGTCTCAAATATTAAAAAAACAATTTTTGAAAGAAATTAGGTAGAACTAAAAAGATAACATCTTAGGTTTATGCCAGTTTACCTCATTGTACTTATCTTTCCCTTAAAAGAAAAAGTCTAATTAAAAAATTATTTTGGGGGTGCTTGGGTGGCCCAGTTGGTTAAGCATCTGACTCTCTTTGGTTTCGGCTCATGTCATGATCTCATGGTTTGTGGGATCAAGCCCTGCATTGGGCTGCATGCTGACACCACAGAGCCTGCTTGGGATTCTCTCTTTTCCTCCCTCTCTGCCCTTTCCCCACTCACACATGCACACACAGTCTGTCAAAATAAATAAACTTAAAAAAAATTGATATTAACTAGAAAATTGCTCCTTGATGATGAAATCCATACTTGCATTGTCTTTTTCAAAGAAAAAAAATACTATCTCTAAATTTTCCAGCTTTTGTTCTTATAATTGGAAATGAGAGTAAAGTGTATTTTTTTCTTTTTATCCAGAAATGAGAGAGTGCAATGATTTTATGAATGTGTGTGTGTGGGGGGGTGTTTTTTACAAAAGAGATTGAATTTATATTCATATCCTACTTTCCCCCCACTTTTCTCATTTCTGATTTTTTTTCCTTTTCTCTTGTATTTTCATTTTTGATTTAATGATTCATTGTTAAAAAGGGTATTTCCTTGAACTTAAAAAAAATATTACTCTTAAGTTTAAAACTTGTAATCAAGGGGCACCTGGGTGGCTCAGTCGGTTAAGTGTCAAACTTTAGCTCAGGTTGTGATCTCACGGTTCATGGGTTCAAGCCCTGCATTGGACTCTGTGCTGACAGCTCGGAGCCTGGAGCCTGCTTTGGATTCTGTGTCCCTCTCTCTCTGCTCCCCCCCTGCTTGTGCTCTGTCTCTCTCTCTCCCAAAAATAAATAAACATTAAAAAAAAAGTTTAAAAAATTTAATCAAATAATCATTGCTATTTTAGTTTCTTAGCCTACTCACAAGACAGACTTCTATTCCTCACGTTACAAATTTTAAATACTTTTAGTTACAACATATGAATAAAAGTTGTAAGGTAATTCTCTTTTGATTTTGTAGGTCGTAAGACTTTTCCAAGAGCTAGAAGAACCCAGGGGACCAGCTTCCGGTCTCCTGTTAGTTTCAGTCCTACTGATCACTCTTTAAGCACTAGTAGTGGAAGCAGTATCTTTACCCCAGAATATGATGATAGTCGAGTAAGAAGAAGGGGAAGTGACATAGACAATCCTACTTTGACTGTAATGGACATCAGCCCACCCAGCCGCTGTAAGTAATAGAAGTTGACACAGTGAATGTACTAGAACCTTTGCAGAACTTTATAGTATTAAAAGGAATAAATATCAAACCAGTCCTTCGGGTGAGACCCAACTTCTCAAAAAAGGTCAAAAGGTCTCACTATGCTCTGAGAATGGGGAATAGTTCATTTTTGGCTAAAGTAAAGACTATCTTACTAGTAACAGTGGGGAAAGGACTAGAATGTTAACTAAGGCCAGATCATGGAGTATTTGGACTTTATCACATAAGCAGTGCATACCGAGATTTGTGCTCAAAGGTATTTATTGCAGCAGTATTTGCATACTTTGCCTTCATCCCTTTTGTGCTAGTGTCATCATATTTTACTCTTACACCTGTGACTTCACACTACATTGTTGCTATTTGTCTTTAGACAGCTATTTTTTTGAATTGATAAAAAATAAGAATATCTTTCATATATCCATTATTTTATTTCTGTAGATCCAGGATTTTGTAGACTATAGATTACATAGACTCCAGATTCTGTTGGATATCAAATTCCTTCTGTGTTTGAAGAATCGCTTTAAACCTTTCTTGTAATGTAAGTCTGCTGGCAATGAATTCTTTCAGAGTTGTTTGAAAAAGGTCTTTTTTCTCCTTTATTTCTGAAAGATTTTTTTTTCCTGGATATAGAATGCTGGTCAGTTTTCTTTCTTTTAGCACTGAGAGCTATTTTTTCCATTGTCTTGTGGCTTATATACTTTTTCAGGAAAGGCCTGCATCTTTCTTTTCTTTAATCGTCTGTAGTAGTCCCACCCTTGCTCCTGCTCCAGCTGCTTGCTGCTCTCAGGATTTTCTCTTGTTAGGATGAGAGCAATATTCTCTCCAGCTTTTTACATTGTAGGCAGATGGAAAACTAATTGCAGATATTGCTGCAATAAAGATTAGGAATGGTGCATCTCATAATCAGTGGTATCTTAGATTGAGTGAAAGATACTATTACATTTTTAATCAGAGGGAAAAATAATCTCATTGGAAAACATAAGGCATGGGGATATATGAACCTTGTTTCGGTTTAGAATTCCTAGAAAATAGAGGAGAAAAAATTTTTAAAGATGATGATCATTAAGAATTTGGAAGATCATGATTTTCCCTTATATCCACGCATATTCAATTAAAGATATCACTAATGCAGTTTACTCATTTAGTCCTTAACCATTTGTGTGCCATTTGGCTATTCTGTTTTAAGAGAATATTCTTTTTTAGCACCTCGTGCTCCAACCAACTGGAGATTGGGCAAACTTCTTGGCCAGGGAGCATTTGGCAGGGTCTACCTCTGTTATGATGTCGATACAGGAAGAGAATTGGCTGTTAAGCAAGTTCAGTTTGACCCTGATAGCCCTGAGACCAGCAAGGTAAGAATTACTGCACAGGCTCTTTTGTCACATTTATAAGAAGCATTTTTACTAAATAAATATGACACAGCAGAATTTTTTGTTTTCCCTTAATACAAATTATTTGTGAAACAAATCAATCAATGAATAGATAAATCTTTATCTACTTTGTACTGTGAATTTTTTTTCTCTTTGAAACTTGGTTATATTCCTGATTGGATTTAGTGTTACTTTAGTATACCTTCAAGGTCTGTTACAAAAGTTACTATTTAGAGACTTTAAAATATTTATTCCTTGGGAAGTAAAAATTTCAGAATGAAATCACCTTGATGGTCCATGAAGTTCAAATGTTTTGCTTTTACTAGCAATGCTGTAAAGACTTAACAGTGAGTTCTGTCTTTCAGGAAGTAAATGCACTTGAGTGTGAAATTCAGTTGTTGAAAAACTTGCTGCATGAGCGAATTGTTCAGTATTATGGCTGTTTGAGGGATCCACAGGAAAAAACACTTTCCATATTTATGGAATATATGCCAGGGGTAAGTTAGTACATCTTCTAAAAATAGACATACTCTCTTTCAAGTTTTAGATGAGGAAAGAAAAACTAAAACTTTGATTATAATATGTTAAACTATAGAAAGTTTTGCAAGTTTTAAATTATTGCTGGGTAATGTAATTTTATCTTCTGTCTTCATTTATTAACTTATTTAGGCAATGCTAAGGTATACTAAAATAGGTTACAGGTACCATAGCAGTGCACACTCAGATTTCCCTAAATGCTCTTAAAATAACCATAATAGCTGGTTTATCCAAACCAGGATCCAGTCCAGGACCACACATTACATTTAACTGTTCTTCCCCTTACTTCTTTTTCAATCTAGAACATTTTTCCATGACATAAGTTTGACAAAGAGACTAGGTGCTCTGTTGACAGTCTCATTTCCTAAATTTCTCTATTTGCATCCCCATGGAGGTGTTTAATTTGTTCCTTTATCTTCTTATCCTGTAAGTTGGATTTAATATCTAAATTAAATTTAAGATGTGGCCTTTTTTTATTAGAATGCATTATAGATGATACTGTGCATTTCATTTTGCATACCATTAGGAGACCTACAATTTCTGGTTGTTGTTCCTCTGTTAATGATGCCAAGATTGAGTGTTAGATTAGGATGATCGACATCCAGATTCCTCTAGTCTAAGATTTTGTTTATTCCTGAAGATCAGAAAATAATCTGAGGTATGAGCAATGGCTCATATGAATATCCAGTTCATGGGGCACCCAGGTGGCTCAGTCAGTTGAGTGTCCAACTCTTGGATTCAGCTCAGATCATGATCTCACAGTTGGTGAGCTGAGGTGCCAGGTAGGACTCCTCACTGCCTGTGCAGAGCCTGTCTGGGGACTCTCTCTCTTTTTCTTTCTGTCTCTCTCTCTCTCTCTGTCTGTCCCTCCCCCACTCATGCTAGCATGCTCTCTCAAAATAAATAAATACTAAAATTTTTAGTATTTGTAGGGTACATTTTAATATTAATGTTTTTCAAGATGGTGGTACATTTACTCTTTAAGAATACATGCATTCAGGGCATCTGGGTGGCTCAAGTTAGTTGAGCGTCTGACTTTGGCTCAGGTCATCATCTCACAGTTTGTGGGTTCGAGCCCCATGTTGGGCTCTGGGCTGACACCTCAGAGCCTGTAGCCTCCTTTGGATTCTGTATCTCCCTCTCTCTCTGTCCCTCCCCTGCTTGTGTTTTGTCTCTCTGAAAAATGAATAAATGTTAAAAAAATATTTTTAAATACATGCATTTGTGTAATTTATATATTAGGAAAAAGATTTGACTTCTAGGTCTTTAAGTGGATGGTTTATTAGAAGTGTGTATATTTAATGTACAAAGTTGCAATTTGAGGTCATGGGTCAGTAAAACTGTGGGTCAGTATCTGGTAGTAATGGTTTTAATCATCCTGTTTCACAAGAGCAGCAATAAACTTTACTTTCTTATCATCATGAATAATTGTTTATAGAGAGACTATTGTTACTTATCATTGCTACTTTGTATTTTTTTTAATTTTTTAAAAATATTTATTTCTGAGAGGAAGAGAGACAGCTTGAACAGGGGAGGGTCAGAGAGAGAGACTCAGATTCCAAAACAGGCTCCAGGCTCTGAGCTGTCAGCACAGAGCCCGATGCAGGGCTTGAACCCACGACCCGTGAGATCATGACCTGAGCCAAAGTTGGACATTTAACCGACTGAGTCACCCAGGCGCTCCTCTACTTTGTATTTTCAGAGATTCTGTTGATAGTGTAAATTAGTTTTTGAAAAGAAACTTCTTTGGAAAACAAGTTGGTTGGATGTATTTAAATGCATAGAAATCTTGAAAGACTGAAGACTTTTGACCTGGTCATTTCACAGAAATTCATCCTGCAGAAGTAATACAAAAGAAAGAAAAAGTTGTGTATATATTTATTTTAGTATTGTCTGTGATGGAAAATGAGTGCCCACAGTGGAATTAAATTACAATGGCACTGTTCAAGAGACTATATTAAAATTGTGAAAGCTATGTTGTAAAGTTGGAGGACGCACTTACAGTAAGAGAGCAAAAAAGAATATAAAATACTTTTTAATAATGATCATGATATTCTTAAAGTACTTATATTTGGAGCATCTGGGTGGCTCAGTCAGCTGGGTGTCCAACTTTGGCTCAGGTCATGATCTCACAGTCTGTGGGTTTGAGCCCTGCATCAGGCTCTGTGCTGACAGCTCAGCTTCAGATTCTGTCTGTCTGTCTGTCTCTCTCTCTCTCTCTCTCTGCCCCTCCCCGGCTCGCTCTCTGTCTCTCAAAATAAAATAAAGACATAAAAATTAAAAAAAAAAAATAAAGTACCTATATCTGGACAAGGATGGGAGGAAAAAAAATGAAAATGTGTTATGTTAGGATTGTGATAGATTTTTCTCTTTTATTCAGATTTTGATTGCTGTTTGTGTAATAAATATTTAAATTGGAAATAGAAAATAATTCTGAATAAGTGTGAATAGAGACCCAGATGGTTGAAAATAAGATTAAACAGTTGGGTTGCTTGGGTAGCTCAACTGGTTGAGTGTCCGACTATTGATTTCGGCTTAGGTCATTGTCTCATGGTTCCTGACACTGAGCCCTGAGCCCTGGAGCCTGCTTGCGATTCTCTGTCTCTGCTCCTCTCCCGCATATGTGATTGTGAGCACTCTCTCTCTCTCAAAATCAATAAACTTTAAATTAAAAACAAAAAAGATTAAATGGTTAATTGGTTGGAACTGATTTATGTCACAAATGAAGATGGGTGATCTTTATATGTTTAGCCATCTTAAGCAGGACCATTCAGGAAGAGGTGTTAGATTATGTTTCTCATTAGCTTCACTTGGTTTTGTAAGGGTAGGTAGCTATCTCTTCAAAGTATTGTTGTCAGTAAAATCATATTACTAAATTAATAATAGTTCATCAACAATCTTAAATGAATTATACACATGCCAAGCGTCTGGCATGTAATGGGCTGGACGTATATGATCTTATTAGACTTTACTGAACCTCCAAGTTTGTGAAAGAGGCTATAAGTTTCTCTCATTAAATTTACCATGATGATCTCTTTTTGTTTTTGATTTATGCTTTGCCACAATTATCATCCCATTTTTCAGTTTTCCCAAAGATAGCCTCTATTTCTTAGTTGATCCAGAACTACTTTCAGAATAGAACCATAACCTTATTCTCAGTATCTGACTAATAGCTAGCAGTTGATTCAGTTGATTTCTATGTTACACACACACACACACACACACACACACACACACGCACGCACGCACTTTTTAGCTGTCACAGTACTTTGTAACCCATTCTACTCGCTCACATAGAAGAAGATAACTATTTTTTTGGTACACAGGAGTAAATTGACTACACTGATGGAGTTGTTCGTAGCTGTAGGCTACTGACCCAGCTGCCTAAGGCCCAGAAGAGCCTTAAGTCCATTGCTTGTCTGCAGCCTACATGTAATTTGAGGGCTTATTATTTGGACAGCTCAGTTCTATCTATGTTATTTTGTGTATTACTATAAGTAGAGGCACAATAAGTAGACTGAACAAGAAGCCATGGTGACTTGTAGGTATAGGTACTTGGCTGCCTAAGGCTTTCCACAAATATGTTTGCAAGTTTGGGTCAGCAGAATTGCATCTTGTGGTCCCTTCAGTTATTGTTCATGAATAGTGGAAACAAGTGAATGGTTAAACCTATAAAGCCAAAGGACCCAGTTTCCTATGGCAAAGTTTACTGTTGGCCAAAACTCAAGGAAAGGCAGAAACATTTGGATATAGAATAGATTTTTTTCCTTCAGGAAACATTTTATTCCCGTCTTTTAAAGTGGTGATTAGTCATCACATTTGCACATTGGAATCCATGTGCAAGTAGGGAAGCTTTTTGAGAATTCAAGTGCCAGTGTCTCACCTCAGAGTGATTCAGCATTCTCAGAAATGGCACCTCATCCTGCTTTAAAAAACATGTAAGAAAATTTGAAATTCTTCTTTAATATATTTTCAAATATTTTGAACTAGAATGTTGAGTATGTATACAGAGGAAAAAATTACCCGTTCTTTCTCTTGAGAAGTAAATTAGCAAGTATCAAACAAATAAGATTCAAGTAGAACATATAGAAAAGAGCAAGTAGGAAAAACAAAAATATATTCATGGCAAAGAGTGCAAGATTTTATTTTATTTATTCATTTTTAATTAATTAATTTAGAGAGAGCATGAGTGGGGGAGGGACAGAGAGGGAGAGAGAGAGAATCCCAAGCAGGCTCCACACAGTTAGTGCAGAGTTCAACACAGGGTTCAATCCACGGAACTGTGAGATCATGACCTGAGCTGAAATCAAGAGTCAGAAGCTTAACCAACTGAGTTAGCCAGATGCCCTGCCCCGCCAAAATAGCAAGATTTTAAAAAACACAATCGCAAGAACAGGAGATAGTTAGAACCAACATAGTCATGGAAACAAGGGCATCAGTCAAAAAATAGGTTTAGAAGACTTCTTTCAGCTATGACCATACTTTTCCAGGGTTCGAGTCAGGGATGTAGGAGAATTTATGTTAATTAGGTGGCATATAATGTCCTTAATGAGAATTCCTGTACTCTTTAACTAAAGCCTCCTAGTCATGAATTACAGAACCTTTTAAAAATATTTAATAGTGGTTTTCATTTCAAACCATACCATCGTTTTCTTTCTTTCTTTCTTCTTTTTTTTTTTTAGGGTTCAATTAAGGACCAATTAAAAGCATATGGAGCTCTTACTGAGAATGTGACTAGGAAATATACCCGTCAGATTCTGGAAGGCGTACATTATTTGCACAGTAATATGATTGTTCATAGAGATATCAAAGGTAAGTTATGAAGTATTTTTTAAATACACAGTTATTTTTTGTGTGAATCTGAATGAAACAAGTGATACGATTAGGAAATTTAACATTTAAATTACTATGTCTACCTTTAAAATATCTTAGGAAAGCTGTTCTGCCTTCTCACTGACTCAGTCAGTGTTCTGACTGATGCTCAGGTCTTCACAAGTGGGTAGCTCATCTCTCAGGGTTCCAGAATCAATAAAGTTCGTATGATCATACGGATGAGACCTTTCATGCATAGGAACATATATATATAGAATATAGACATTAGAGTATAGTGGTTGAGAGTAGGGGCTCTGACACCAGGTGGCCTGGTGCAAATTTGGACATCTCTGAGACCTTGATCAAGACACATAATCTCTCTGTGCCTTAGGTCCTCATTTTTAAGGAGTATAATAGTAGTGTCTAACTCCTAGGAATTTTGTAAGGATTAAATGAGTTAATTTATATAGCATGCTTAACACATAGTATTTAGGAAATACTCAAGTTAGCCATGATGATGACATGCTTTACATTGAGATCATATTTAAAGCCATGGGGAATGGATATCACTATCTAGGGAAAGAATAAGAAGAGGGAAGAAGAGAGCCCAAGACCTGAGCTTTGATAATCTGTAACTCAGTTAAAGTCACTTTTTCAAACTCAGAAACCCAACTGTTTTTAGGGAGCAGATACGTAAAGGAAGAGCATGACATGAGACAAAGGCAGTTGTCGGAGGAGTTTCACATTGTGAGAGTGCTTACAACGTTGTACTGCACAGCATACCCAGAGGCCTGACTCTGTAAACACTGGGATGTGGCCCACATGTAAAGATTATTTAAGCAGTCAGTAAGAAACACACACACACGTACCATTGACCCCTGAACTGTGTGGGTCTACCTATTTGTGGATTTTTTTTTTATAAACTGCTACAGTACTGTGAATATATTTTACTTAGGATTTTCTTAACATTTTCTTTTCTGTAGCTTTATTTTAAGAACATGCATATATAATACATATGCAGAATATGTGTTAACTGTTTTTGTTATCAGTAAGGTTTCCAGTCAACAGTTGGCTATTAGTAGTTAAATTTTGGAGGAGTCAAAAGTTATATGTGGATTTTCAACTGTGCCAGGGCCGGGGTGCCCTGAACCCTTGTGTTTGTTCAAAGGTCAACTGTAAATAATAAAAATACATTTTAAAAAAATGTTTTTTAAATGTTTTATTTATTTCTGAGAGTGAGAGAGACAGTGTGAGCAGGGGAGGGTCAGATAGAGAGGGAGACACAGAAACTGAAGTAGGCTCCAGGCTCTGAGCTGTCAGCACAGAGCCTGACGCGGGGCTCGAACTCATGAACTGTGAGATCATGACCTGAGCTGAAGTCAGATGCTTAACCGACTGACCCACCCAGGCGCCCCTAAAAACACATTTTTTATTGGTTTTTCAGGGGAGCTTTTTTGAGCATTTTTTTTCTGGTATGTCACATCATAAATATGGCCATATTCAGGTCAAAGGGAAGATTCCTAACCAGTTTCTAGTGATAGCATAGAATCTGCTTCAGACGGCCTGCGCTGGGTCGCTGGTATGGGATAGAAGTTGCTAGTGCGTCCGAGAGGACGAGGACGTGGCTGGTGATCTAACAACAAACAGAAGACTTTCGCATCCAGATATTTAAAAGCGTTACAGAGCAAATAGGTTTCTAAGAGAAGAGCAAGCTATAAAACTTGATATGCAATATGATCTCAAGTTTGCAAGATTAAAGTACAACCCAGGAGAAGAATTTCCATATTAATAACAGTGCTTATTTCAAAATGGGCAGGATGAATGATAGTTGTTACTTTTCATACTTTTTACTTTCTGTATTTCCCAAGTTTTTATACTGTGCAATTTTTATTTTTACTTTTTTTTGATTGTGCAGTTTTCAAATGATGAGGGAAAAGGAAAGTTGGTTGCTTTTAAAGTTTAAATACATGCGTTCATAATGAAACTTAGGATAAAAACTAATTGATCATTGTTGCTAGGAACCAACTTGTTATTTCATAATAGGGTTCCTTTATTCTGCTTCTCTGTTACAAACTGTGCTACAGAGGACCAAATAGTGGATGAAAGGAAACATCGTTATAGAAGTATGTTGGCTAACAAATGGAAAAATAATAATAGAATAGTACCATTTTACAACCACTAAGGAAATAATAGATGTAAGCACTAAATATGAACAGTTGCTGATGTCACTAAAACACACTCCAGCATCATATACTTCCTATTTGTAGAATAATACATCATCATCCAGGTAGGTAGTTTTGTCAAAAAAAACCCCTGAATCTGATCAAGCCCCTAGATTCAGCTACCAAATTATAGAACACATATAGCACAGATGAATATGTTAAATGACTCCTTGGGATGGAGTCAGCAAAATTTGGACCATAAGAAAGCTACAGGCAAACAACTTACATTGTTCTAAATTACAAACGAAAAAAAAGAGGTTGGAGGGAACTTCAGATTAGGAAAGACTTAAAAGATCAGTGAGTCTCAATGTATGGATCTTATTTGGATTCTGATTTTTTTATGTTAAAAATAGCTTATATTTAATAATATTAAGGAGTTATTGTCCATTCTCTTAGGTGTGATGAGAGTTTATATTTTAAAGATAGGTACTAAATTGTTGATCATGATGTGTTGAATTTGCTTCAGGTAATATGAGAGGGAGTAGGTAGCAGTATGTATCGTGGGGAAAGATTGTGGATACTGTATTATTCTGTATACTTTTGTGTGTTTGAAAAGTCTCTTTAAATGCTTACTTCTAATGTGAAAATTAGCTTTAAAAAATTAGAAAGGTTTGTTTTTTTTTAATGTTTTTTTATTTTTGAGACCGAGAGAGTGCTTGAGGTGGAGAGGGGCAGAGAGAGAGGGAGACACAGAATCTGAGCTGTCCTGAGCTGTCAGCTAAGAGCCCAACATGGGGCTCAACCCCACAAACCGTGAGATCGTGACCTAAGCCGAAGTCTGACGTTTAACCGACTGAGCCACCCAGGCACCCCTAGAAAGTTATTTTGATATTTGGCTACACATTTTCTCCTCAGCCATTCATATGAATGGGCATTGGTTCGCTGTTAGTGATGACTCCATGGCTCTCCCAGTCTGTGGCTTGCCCGTGACTGTTCCTTCCCATCTCATTGACTGTGAAAGCCGGCTTCTTTGTTGTCCTTCCTCTGGCTAATATTTTATAGGCAGTGGCTTTTTTGACAGAATCTTTCTGCGAGTTCTGGATGACGGGAGATGTTAAATATAAGGCAGGGTGCTGTTTTTGAGGATCACTGGTATCCTTATAGCACGCTTAGTCTCATGTCATGCAGAGAACGGATCCTGGACCCTTCCCTGGAGAGAGGCTTTGGGGAGCCATCGTTGACTAGGTTGGGATTTGCTGGGAGAGCAGAAACACAAGTACAGAAGTTCATGATGGGGGATGTACACTTTAATTCTCTCTCTTCTATAGTGCATATTTTTTTCACTATTCACCCTCCTTCTTAGAGGCCATTAAAAAAAAGGATAAAAGGACAAATAAGGAGGTTTTTTTAAATATAAAATATAGTTAAGGTAATGGAAGACTTAAAAATGAGAATTGAAGTAAAGCTTAAAACAGATATGTTATTACAACAAATTGCTTATTTAAGAACATGTTATAGGACACAGTTAGGTGGTTCAGTTGGTTAAGTATCCAGCTTTGGCTCAGGTCATGATCTGAGCCAGCTCAGGTCATGATCTCATTCAGATCAGATCATGATCTCCTGGTTTGTTAGTTTGAGCCCTGCATCAGGCTCTGTGCTGACAGCTAAGAGCCTGAAGCCTGCTTCAGATTCTGTGTCTCCCTCTCTCTCTGCCCCTTCCCTGCTTGTGCTCTGTCTCTCTTTCTCTCTCAAAAATAAACAGACATTTAAAAAAATTAACAACAAAAAACCATGTGTATTAAAGAAACTAAAAATGAGAATAGAAATAATTTATATAAGACAGAAACCAGATTTACAATCCCCGAAGAAAGATTGAATTTAAAAAATGATAAAGGGAAAAAGAATAAAAAATAAACATAGCACCTAGATCTTGATTGCTGATATCATTCTCCACTGAAAGGAACTTGGAGGAATGACTGATTCTAGGACTGGTGCAGGAAAAGACACGAGTTGAGCCGCGAGCACCTTTTAGTGCCAGAAAGTAAGAAAATGCTTTTAAAAAGCCACAAAACCCAAAACAAACAAGAACACAGTGATTCAGGGTATGGCCAAGGGACACAGGAGCCAATACAGAGAGCTTCCAATGGCCAGAGCTGGGATAACTTGAGCACAAAAATGGTACCCTATTTGATTATAACTCAGAGTATAAAATAAATATCCATGTGTTCATACTAATATAAATGAAGGGTTGAAGGAATAAATGGGAGAGAGGAGACAAATGCCCCATGCAGAATAATTACGAATAATTTATTGTAGCTGCTCCACCTTGAGCATAGATCCTTGCACCTTAATTGTGGGCTGTGCATAGTGGGCTTCTTCCGAAGAGTGCAGTATGGAAAGGGGGGGAGTAACTCTCAGTGTGGAACTCAGCAAACACTACCTCATGCCCCATGAGTAAGGTCAAGTTATAGTAAATACAACTAAAAGTTTATTATAAAAGGAAATGAAACTTTAGAACAGCTCAGAGCTAACTTAGAAGAGACTTAAAACATATAGAGAAATTGAGAAATAAAACTAGTATAAAACAAAACCCAGTAACTGCTAAGAAAAACTGTAAAATGTAAGATAACTTTAAACTATAACATTAAATTATGGTAGTGGGGAAAGTGCTAGAAGTTGTTGATTATGAATGCCCGCAGGAAGTCCTTGAGGAGAATCTGGCTTTGAGGGAAAGAAGCTGTAGCATGGGCTTCTCGCTTTGTTCCAGAGAAACTGGGGCCAAGAGCCTGCTGTAGCTTTCTGTATCCTTCTCTGAGCTTCACATTCTTAGCTCTTTTCCCCTTTTTCCTTGTCATCCCCGCCTCCCACACACTCCAGTCCTTGTCAGTGGGAGAACCTTCTTGGGTCCTGAAGCGCACACAGCTGACTCTAAGATTTCAGTGTTTGTGCGGTGAGTCCTTAACGAGCCCTGGCTGTGACAGGCGTTGTGCCTGGTACTGCTCGGAAGACGAAAAGCAGCCTAATCCTGGAGACAGATTGAAGAGTCTACTAAGTAATTCTCTACCATTGTTTTTTTTTTTTTTAATTCTAAACAGCCAATAAAGATAATGAATTGAGGATGTTTTTGTATTTTTAGGTGCAAATATTCTGCGAGATTCAACAGGCAACGTCAAACTGGGAGATTTTGGGGCCAGCAAACGCCTTCAAACCATCTGTCTTTCAGGGACAGGGATGAAGTCTGTCACAGGCACACCTTATTGGATGAGCCCTGAAGTCATTAGCGGAGAAGGCTATGGCAGAAAGGCAGACATCTGGTAGGTGTCCATGCCAGGTTTGCCTGAAAACACTTGCCTTCTTACATAATTCCACCTAAAATAGAAATTACTGAACCAGATTTAAATGATGTCTTGTACTTTTAAATTGGATGTCAGGTTTACAAGGATCACTGTCATTTTAATTTTGCCTCTTTGTGGCTTAATAAGTAAACAAAGGGGTTCTTGAACTTGTCTTCCTTTCTTTAGGAAGGATTTCATCTAAAGCAAATTTCAGCATTAGAAAACTCTCTTCATTTTATTATTAATCTTTTTTGCTACTATCTTATAATTCAGTTAATCTTTAACTTTTTAATAATTTTAAATTAGAACATAAAATGGTTATTTTCTATTTCTCACCCAGAAAAGTGTTTGAGTATTCATTTTAGGTACCTAAAAGCAAACAATTTCTTTCTTTTAAAAAAAATTTTTTTTTAATTTTTTAAATTTATTTCTGAAAGAGAGAAAGACACCATGAGCAGGGGAGGGTCAGAGAGAGAAGGAGATACAGAATCTGAAGCAGACTCCAGGCTCTGAGCTAGCTGTCAGCACAGAGCCCAACGTGGGGCTCAAACCCACAAACCATGTGATCATGACCTGAGCTGAAGTCGGACACTTAACCGACTGAGCCACCCAGGCGCCCCTCTTTTTTTAAAAAAATCTTTCAATTTCTATTAAAAATTTTTTAATGTTTATTTATTTTTGAGAGAGAGAAAGAAAGAGAGACAGAGCACAAGTGACGGAGGAGCAGAGAAAGTGAGAGAGGGAGGGGGGCATACAATCCAAAGCAGGCTCTAGGCTCTGAGCTGTCAGCACAGTCTGATGCAGGACTCAACCTCACAAACTGCGAGATCATAACCCGAACCAAAGTCCAACGCTTAACTGACTGAGCCACCCTTGTACCCCTTAAGGCAAACAGAATTTCTAGTGTTTATGTTCTTTGTAAGAGAAAAAATTATACCTAATATCAGGTTAGAGAATTATATAATATCAAGCAAAAATTATAAAATGAATAATGTTCTCTGTCTAACCATTTTGAATTAACCCTTAAATTGTGGTTTATTTTCATTGATGTTTAAATTTTAGTTTTATATAATTATAATCCTTCAGTGAAACTTTAAACTTGAAATCAAGTTGTATTTAAATGTATATAGACTTCAGTCCTGTTCCTCATGTAGTTAAGTGGCTTACCTTCATGATGATGCTGTTTGTATAATTTTTTTTCTAGGAGTGTGGGCTGTACTGTGGTGGAAATGCTAACTGAAAAGCCTCCTTGGGCAGAATTTGAAGCTATGGCTGCCATCTTTAAAATCGCCACTCAGCCAACAAACCCAAAACTGCCACCTCATGTCTCAGACTATACTCGAGATTTCCTCAAGCGGATCTTTATAGAGGCCAAACTGAGACCTTCAGCTGATGAACTGTTAAGGCACATGTTTGTGCATTATCACTAGCAGCCAGTGACCTCTACTGTGCCTCTACCCAGCTCCCATCAATTCATTCACCTTCTCTCTGACTGCACTTTTCTTTTTTATAAAAAAGAGAGATGGGGAGAAAAAAAGACAAGAGGGAAAGTATTTCTCTTGATTCTTGGTTAAATTTGTTTAATAATAATAGTAACCTAAATTTTTTATATTTAATCTTTTTTTTCCCCTTTTAAGAACTTGAAACTCCTTTTTTTTTTTTATTTTTTATAATGTACTGATGTGGTTCAGAGAGATAAAGCACTTTAGTACATAGTCGCTCTTTTTAGTACAAACAAATCATTTAGAATACCTAAAGATTGTAGAGTCTTTCCCTGTGTCACTGACAGATTGGTGGTGACAGGGAGACATGGAAAACAAGAAGAAAATGATGTATGATTTGTAGTTTTTAGTGATAGTATTTAAAATAGATCCTCATTTGTGAGGTTGAGCCCTAAACTTGAGTTTAGGGTAGGTACTCAACTTAAAGAATATAGGTTCCTTCCTATTATCTGTATTCTTTAGATCCTAACCTCTGTCTACCAAGCTTTTTGCTCAGTAGGAATCTTGATAGAAAATATGAATCTCTAAGAGGTATGTTTATTTGTTAATCCTAACCAGTATAATAAGCAAATACACTATAATAGATCCATGTTCCTGGAATCTTATAAACCTTGAAGGATAGCTTTCTGCCTAAAAAAAAAAAAAAGGTACTATTTTAGTTTAAAGCAGATATGGGAAGTCAGTGAGCAAATCCAAATTAAAAGGCAAAAAGAGATTGCTCTATATCAGCGTGTGAGCAGAAGAAACCGCATTTGCCAGTCAATAGAAATAATGAAAAAGAAGAAATAAATACTGTTTAGTATGTTTTCAACTATGTTCTTTACTGAAGGTAGATAGTCCTAATATTAAGGGAAAAGAGAAATGATCAAAATCATATATACTGTATCTCCTATTTCTAGCTCCTGATTCCCCATAGATAACATTCTTTGAAAACTAAGAGTTTAACTTGGAGTATCATGTGTTCAAGCTAGTGTCATGAGATAAGATCCTCGTTCTTGGGATCACAGAATACTAAAACACCAAAAAATAGTTACCATGTAAAATAGTGGTTCTCAAGTGTCAGATGGGGTTAATTTTTCTTTCCACTTGGCAGTGCCTGGAGATGACCTTTCCTGTCAAAACTAGAGGATGTTAATGGCATCTGGTGTCTCAAGGCTGAGGATGCTGCCAAAGTACACTGTGCAAGTGCAGCAGCCCCGTTCCCTAAGTAAGCATTATCCTGCCCAAAATGTCAAAAGTGCCGAAGGTGAGAACCCTGATGCAAAGACCAGCCCCAGTTATAAACTGAAAACAGCATTTACAGAGCAGGGTCCTTGCAAAAAGTAAATTTCAGAGTGGAAGTGATGCACAGTGCATACTGAGGGTTTTACAAGAGCAGATACCACTACTTTAAGTCAAGGGCGGACGATCTCAGCAAACATCAGATAGCAGTCCTTTCCTTCCCAGCTGCATGTTACACCAAAGTCAGTAACTTCTGTTGTAGAAACAAAATGAATTTAAACAGGGAGCCTGTGAAACCCAGCCACCTGTATATCTTCTTTCCTCAAAAGTCTGTTCATAATTGTGAGAAAAGAAAAGCATATCAAAAAAGGGTATTAACTACTTTATAGAAAGGTTTAAGGTATTTCAGTTGCAACATATCCACTAAAAGCAAGGGCGTCCAGTGGAAAGAGGCAGCTGGGAATCTCCCAGTAGCTCCAATGGACTTACGCCACTGAAAAATATCAGTAACATCAGTAATTCGGCGACTTGCATTTTTTTCGGCACATTAAAGCAAGTGCTAAGTACTTTATTTTTAAAGGTTAGAAAATAGTAGTCTTTCTGGAGGGCCTAAATGTGATTCCTGTCATAGGGTTTATAGGAGCTCTGATACTTTATTTTCTGCTTAAACATACGCTTTCGAGGGACTCTTGTAAAGTGCTTTGTTTCTGAAGATAGGTAGATCTTGGTCTCCTGTATCAAGGTCCTATCTGGCATTTTCCATAGGAATATTTGAAATATCACTAGCTAGTCTGAGAAAAAGTCAAAGCACAGATATGCTTGTCAAAGTTTCTCCTATACCCTCATAATCAAAGGAAGCAGCTTACAAGGAAGAATATGAATTAGTCGCCCCTCCCCCTGGAAAACCAACTGCCGAATCTTGTGCTATAGACAAAGTAACCAAGGATGTGGATCTATTATAATTTCTTTATCTTTTATGAGTGAAGGCATCTCTTCTGCTTGAGCAAGATGGTATCTGGACCAGTGGGCTTTTCCTTCATTCCTTTGTTTTGTGCGGTCTTGATTTCCTTTGGGCTCATTTTTGGTCTGTCAGGGTAACCAGCAGTGTAGAATATGAGACAGATGCTCTTTAGAGAGAAATCTTGGGGGACTGTGAAACCCATAGCAAAATCATTTGCTTTCTTCAGTCTCTTTTTTCTTCTCTAAGTGCCATAGAGAATAAATTCACCTGAAAAGAAATCATTGCTTTAACACTGCTGCAGAAGACCTTTGTTTTATAAGAAAAACATGGGAAAGTATTGTTCTTTATGTAAAGACTTTAAATAGACTAATAGTTTACAGAATTATTATATAAAATGTGATGTGAATTTATTTCAAACAAGTTGTAAAGGTACCAAAACCACAATAAAAGTTAATATATTATACAGAAACTACTAGAACAAAAAAGCTTGAATGGGATGAGGTGTGAAAGACCAAAAGTAAATTAAAAAAAAAAAAAAAACTTTGAAAAGAAACCCCCCCTCTATTAGGGGCAGTTAAATATAACACTCCAATTTTTTCTTTCTAATAATGGTATGGATCAACAAATGGAATTTGAACTTTTAAGGATGACTCAGTGTATTTTATTTTTTAAATGCACAACTGATTCTTCTATACTGTAATGTTTCTTTGCTGAGGCTGGAAAATGGCCAGACTGCTGACTTTGTGCCTTTAAAATGTGCTCTGCTTTGATCGCAGCAGACTTTTTGGTGCTGGAGAAGATTCACTAGCAGTCTTATATGTGCTTTTCAGGAAATATCTTTCTACGTAGGCCTTGAGAGATTCAAAATGGCATGACTTAGGCTTGGACCAAATATAAGATCTTTTACATTGCAAACAAACTGTACTGAATAAAAGGGTTGAAAAATATCACAACGACTAATGGAAATTTTGATGGTAATTCCTTAAAATGTATTTAAAAGTATACAGACTTTGAAATTTTCAGTATGAATATCTTGAAAATTTTTCAATTTTTCTCATTTACAAAACATGTTTCTAACTTGAAAATGCCTTAGAAAGTTCTCAAAGGCAGTCAACCTTACATAATTTATATGAGATTGGAATGTTAATGCATAGACTGAAATATGAAAGAACATGAAAACTTATTTCAGAGTAAATTGAATTGGCTTTCACTTGAGGGAGGCTTTATCTTATTCCCAGTAGAAAGTCCATGAAAAAGGTGGAATTATTTCATTAATAGCTCTCTGCTGCTTTAGCTCTTACATATGTTAGGTGTGGTCTGTAGTACTTCTGAGATGGAGTTGTTTTAAGATACATGAAGACACTAAGAAAATCAAATCTGGATAGTTATAGGGATGACCAAGCTTGGGTGCAGAAGCCGAGATGTTCGTCAGATGCAAAGTCTTTGACCCACAGCAGAGTTCTATGCCAGTGGTTTCATTTGGGGTCCAGAGACCACTAGCTTGATACACAGTCACCTGTGTCAAATACAGGAATCTATCAATTTCTTTTCTGGAGGGTGAGTCTTTTTCACCTGCTTATTCAATAATTGTGGTTTATTATGTCAGGTACTAGATTAACTTCTCTTTAAGTAGGTCACAGTCTAGGAGGAAACATGGGCAAACGGATTCTTATTTTATGGCATACCCTAACTCTGAAAATTTAGCATTGATTTTTTAAAATTCTTTTTTCTTTAAATATTTATTTATTTGTTTTGAGAGAGAGTGGGAGAGGGGCAGAGAGAGAAGAGAGCGAACATCCCAAGTGGGCTCTGCACTATCAGTACAGAGCCCATTGTGGGGCTGGAACTCACAAACCTTGAGATCGTGACCTAGGTTGAAATCAAGAATTGGAAATCAAGAGTTTGACGCTTAACCAACTAAGCCACCCAGGTGCCCCCAGCAGTGATGCTTTAAAATGGTATTGTTTTTTATGAAATGAGAGGGAAGCAATTTTGGGTAATCTGGCTGTTATAAATTAAAATGTCATTAACAGAAATTAAAAGTATCCCCAAATTGGAGGGACCCTCCTCCCCCAGGGTCAGGCAGCCTCTCTCTCAGGACTTCCTCTTAGATAAAAGTTCAGCCCCTACTCAATTCCAGTGATGAAGGGCATAAATTCCATACGTTCCCCCCCCCCACACTTTTTCTTTTAATGAGAAAATAATTTTTTTTAGTCTAAATTGTTAAAATGCCCAGAACTGAATTCTGCCAGCAGTGTTACATATGCTGGGATCGGGACAGTGGTTTGAGACATCATTGTTTTATATTAAGTTTGGCCTTTTTACAGATGTAATGTTCATATTTATTTGAATTTTAAGATTGACTAAGCATTAATGAAAAGCAATTTAATTGTTCATTTTTGGTAGTGCCTTTTTCTCTGTATGCCTTAATTTTATTTTATATCAATAATAATTCAAGTTACCCACCGAAATGAAGGTTTTTCCAAAATCAGTAGGCTTCAAGAGTTTATTTGGCCTTAGGGCTACATATTGACCCTTAAAACTTTCTTAATGCCTGCTTCCTCCTACCCTTTTCTACCTCTTTTTATTTTACATCTATATATGTACATATTTTACATCTATATATGTTAGAGAAACATTAGCGTTAGTCTGTGACAGAGTGCAGTTTCCAGTAGACGTGAATACCTACAAGAAGGATAGAGAGAGGTATTCTAATTCTAAAGAGACACGGTAAATGTTTCTGCAGGTTGGTAATTTGTCAGTCACATTGGCACTGTCCAAATTCTTTGTATATCGTCATGGTTCAGTGATGATTTTCATAGCAGGGCTAATATGGTTAATTTTGCCCTAAAGAGGTC